CTTATTTTCCACCTCAACAAAGCATGTAAATGATAGCTCCTTCATAGGCAGTTTCAAATAGGATTATCTGAGACTAAGACTCAGGGACTCTTAAATTCGAAATAGAATGTAGATTTTACCTTTCTCCCCATCCCTCATTCAATACTACCACTACCATTATGTGATTAAAAGTAAACTTATACCAAACTGTGAAAAGGGTAAGAAAATCTAGCCGGGCGCTGTGACTCACGCCTGTAATTCCAGCACTTTGGGAGGCAGAGGCGAGAAGATTGCCTGAGCCCACAGTTTCGAGACCAGCCTGGGCAACATGACAAGACCTCGTCTCTACAATAAATCAAAAAATTAGCCAGGCATGGTGGCACATGCCTGTAGTTCCAGCTACTTGGAAGTCTGAGGTGGAATGGATTGCCTGAGCCCTGCATGTTGAGGCTGTGGTGGCTGTGAGCATGTCACTGCACTCCAGCCGGGGCAACAAGAGTGAGATTCTGACTAAAAAAAAAAAAATGGTAAGAAAATCTAACCAAGTTCTGATTTTTCCTGTAGTGACTATTTTTATGGAGTTCTTTGAAATACCAATTATCATATTATTTTCCAAAATGCTTTTGTTGCTGTCCCTGCTTTATGAATACCCTAAGCATTTGTATGGATTTACCAGCCCCCGGAAAATATGGATTTGGAAACTTTGAAAATGGGTCAGACACATTCTTGTCAGCCAGGATCAACTCACACTCTATTGATAGAGTTTACTACCTGCCAGGGAATGTTCTAATTCATTTTATCCTCACAAAAAACCCCTATGAAGTTAGTGTAATTATGAATCCCCTTTTACAGATAGGCAACCTGAGGATTGTGGGAGTGAATGAACTTGCCCAATGTCACAGCTAGTGAATGTTGGTAGAGGTTTTGAACACAGATCATCTCGCTGCAGAGGCCGTATGCTTAACCGCTATGTTGTGCTATCTCTTCAAATGCTTAGATCAAACTATTGTCACACATGTGAGAGCCTTGTATTCCAAGGAGGCTGGGATAGGCTAAGAGAGTAGGACTGGTTGTTGGGGAGCCCTCCCCACAACTAGAGACCCAGCCCCAAGCCCACATCCCCACTGCAAGACCCGAAGAGTGCTCAAATTGGCTAAGGTGCCACCCTATGTTCCTCTATGGGGAGACATCTGTAAGTGAGAGGTTTGAACTGAACAACTTCCAAAGGTTCTTTCATTTCAAGGAGCTGAAGTCTCAACTCTATCTCAGGCCCATCAGCTGTCTTCTCCTATGGGGGCAAGTAGGTCATTTGCAGTCCCTTTTCACTCTGTTCTCCCTTGAATGGTGGTGGCATCAGGGTATCCTGAGCCCTTGCCTTTCTCACTTGGGGCCATGGCACACCCGGGAGACTGCATCCCTCCAGAACTGGAGGTACCTTCCTTATCCTGATGATTGCTCCAGACCTCTCCTCAACTGGAGAACCATTTCCCCAACTGCCTCCCAGGCCCCACCTCCTTAGTGTCTTTCACTCTACCTGAAGTGTGAACTCTGTGGGTGTCTTCTTCCCTTGGAACCTCTTCCTCTTTCCACGTTCCTCTTCTCTATGAATGCTCTGCCACCTATCCATGTGCTTAAGCCAGAAACCCCGGAGTCATCCTCGTTTTCCTTGCCCTCACTCTCCATATCCCATCAGATGCCAAAGCCTGTTGTCTCAGGAAACCACTCCCTTCTCTCCATCCCCACCACTACCTCCTTAGGCCAAGTCCCACCATCTAAGAGACAAATTAAGTGACAAAAGCCTTCTGTGGCCCTTTCTACCTCAATTCCCCACTTCCCCCAGCAGCCTTCACCCAGCAGACAGAATGAGCTTTTTAAAGCAAAATCTGGTTCCCCTGCCCAAAGCTCATTGATGACTTTATTCTTCTTAGTATGAAGTCCACATTCCTGTGCACATGTGATGAGATGCTGTGCTATTAGGCAAACCATTTTATAGGATAGGTTCTGGGGTCTCTATACACCTTGATTCTGAGGCTAGGCTGGTCACTTAATAGCCAGTGAGACTTCTTTTTTTATCAGATCGGAGTCTCACTCTGTCACTCAGACTGGAGTGCAGTGGCACGCTCACGGCCACTGCAGCCTCGATCTGCTGGGCTCAGGCGATACTTCTGCTTCAGCCTTCCAATTAGCTGGAACTACAGAACCATCATGCCCAGCTAATTTCTTTGATTTATTCTCGAGACGAGGTCTTGCCATGTTGTCCAGGCTGGTCTCGAACCCATTGGCACAGGCAATCCTCTCAGCTCAGCTTCCCAAAATGCTGGGATTACAGGTGTGAGCCACCACGCCCAGTGAATATGACTTCTGATATGCTTCCTAACCTCTGGAACCTTCAACATTCTCATTTGTTAAGTGGGATAATACCAAGACCTCCCTGGTATGGTCATTGTAAAGAGGATAGGAGAGTGGGTGTACAGTGCACTGAGTTCAGTGCCCTGTACCCGGGCACTCTCATCACTTGCTGCCAGTTAGATCTGGTTATTATGAAGTCATCAGTACCATTAATAGAATTTAGTATTGGTTTAGTTGACTAATGATGAGTAATTAGGATTAGTAATATGATGGTTTTGTTATATTGTATTTTAAGTTCTTACCATGAGGTTATGATGACATTGATTTGGAGTTTGCGATGATCTTTCCAGCCTGGCCTCTCACAATTCCCTCTCCCTCTTCCCTCGTCTACTTGTCACATACTCTTGCTCCCAGCCTTTCTCACTTTCTGCTCTCTCTCCCTGGGAAGTCTTTCTGTCTTTCTTTTTTTTTTTTGGTTTCTCATTTTATTTTCATCAAGTAAATAGTGTTCACATATTTATTAAGTAATATAATAAGGATGAAAGCATAGGTCTTTTTAAATCCACTCTGACCATCTTTCAGCTATCTTACCATTACAAAAAATTTCAATGTTTTACACACATGCTAAGAAAATCTGTCTATATTTGGAACTGTATTTATTTAATTCAGGTAAATCTATACCTTTTTTTTTTTTGAGTTGGAGTCTCACTCTGTCACCCAAACTGGAGTGCAGTGGCCGCTCCCGGCCACTGCAGCCTCGACTGCTGGGCTCTGGCGATCCTTCCGCCTCAGCCTTCCAAGTAGCTGGAACTAGCGCGCTTCCACGCCCGGCTAATTTTTTTATTTTTTATTTTTTATTTTTTTGAGTTGGAGTCTCACTCTGTCGCCCAGACTGGAGTGCAGTGGCCACTCCCGGCCACCGCAGCCTTGACCTGCTGGGCTCCGGCAATCCTTCCGCG